CCCCAAAACCCCAAAACCCCAAAACCCCTAGATTTGAGTATTATTTGAAATGTAGGTGAATTATAGAGGAAATAAAAGACTCAGGTAGCTCGAATACTGATGCTACATGAAGTGAGAACTGACTCTCAATTTAGACTCCATCCTGACTTGGACCCCGAAGACATCAGCAGAGCTCGATATCTCTATGGTAAAGACTATCTTCCTAAGTCTCCATATCATGGTAGCAACTGGTGCAGAGACGATCCGCACTAGTGGGACGATTACTATTGGGGGAACAGACTTGGCTCCAGATTAAGCTCAAGACACAGTAGAAGAGGCAAATGGTTTGGAAATAGGTAAGATGATTATTACTATGATGGATATTATGATGACTACTCCGATGCCTATTACAAAGGCTATGATTATGATGACTATTATTGGCATGATAGGCTAGGTACTTACAAAGGCAAGAGAGATCCTAATGCAAGGCATGGAGAATATGATCATCGGCATAATGATGCCGAGGCCAAGTTCCGACCTCCATGGTGGTCTAAACAGCAGGACTGGGACCCTTACCTTTGGAGGAGAAACAAACCACCTCCTTTCTGGATGTATGGAGATGACAAGAAGACACACTGGGAGTTCAAGAAACAATGGGAGCGATGGTATAAAGGCGACTCAAAAGACTGGTGGGACAAGTATGTTCCTGATGATTTCAAAGGCAAAGTTGAGAACTTAGTCAATGACAAAATTCAGAAAGTTGCCAATGACTTAACTGAAAAAGAACGAGCTCTGTATGATCGGATCAAGGTTCTTAAAAATACTGGCCAGAATGACGACATCAAGAAGAAGAGGTATCTCGAAGAAATATATAGACTGAAGAACAAAATTAAGGATCAAGAGTTGCAAGAAGACTTGAGACACAACTATGTTTACCAAATAATGTTTGAAAACTGGAAAAAGAAGCATAAAGCTCTTGCTCCTTATGATGGGAAAGAAATGAAACTCCCAGACATTTGAGATGATGACAGGACCAGAAGGGATGAATGGCTTGAGTTTGATGAAGAAAAGCTCAAGTTTCCTTCTCCTGAAGACATCAATAATATGGATATCAAAGATGACTTCTTTGATGTTGACAAGCTTCATGAACTCAATGTCAAAAGACTGAAGAAGTTGCCAAGGAAAATGAAAGATGAAGACAAGAGGTTCAAGTTTGACATCAACTTACTGGATGATAAACTCTTCGGCAAACTTGACACTGAAAGACAACAAAAAGAGACAGGAGCTATCCAAGTTACACCAATGTATTCATCGAAAGAGCAAAACCATGATGGGTTTGGTAGTGAGCGTAAAATATATGCGAATACTTTGAAAAGCACAGGAGCATTTGATAGTAAGCTGAATAGAAGTCCAAGTCAAAACATATTTGATGAAGCTAGACCTAATAAGTTTAGAGACCCTGATATTAGGAACTCGTCAGTGTTCAATAAAGATGGAGACAGAGCTGGCAAATATAAATCCCTATTGAAGCTTGCTTCAGAAATGATAACTTCTTAACATAATGTTCCATAAATCAGATAAGAAAAGGGGTTTTGGGGTTTTGGGGTTTTGGGGGGTACAGAAGAGCTGACGT